GATATTCCCAGGCTTGTATTTCCTATCATGATTTACTTGATAGAGGATTGCTGCTCACAAAGAAGCTATTAAACCAAGAGTTCCAAATGGTGAAGTTGAAATCATCCCTTCGTAAATTTTACGGACGCCATCACGAGTTGGTTGACCGTTATGGAATAACCGTTTCACAGATGATATCGGATATGTTCCTTATGTCGTAACTACAATACCCTTCCATTTTCATGAATGTGACCTACCGAATTAGACTCTTTACCGGATTTGTAATAACATAAGCAACACGACGGGTGCCACATGTTGAGCAGGATCTGCTTACCCTTCCGGAGCACTTGAGATCACCCCCAGTTTTTGGTGGGGTTCGTGTTGCTTAGTCTTTAGTTATCTATGATGTGTCATCCGTACTATATTTGCCTGTTTGTCTTTTAATTTTTGGCCATGAAGTTGTCTGTTTGTTTTCGATCTATGAGTTGGACTGTCCCTCTGGTATCTTTCGTCCCTCTTTTAAGAAATCTCCCATGCAGAGTTATCGGTCCTTGCTCTCTCTCAAGGACCGATAACTTTGGATGGGAGATTGCACGTTTTGCGGGAAAATATGAATGCCTACTCAAATCCAATCTATTAGAAAATCGAATTATTACAGAAAAGTGTCCACCATGCACTTGCACCACACTACTATTAATATAGTAGAATATAATGATATACAAATGGATGAAAACTTTATATACATGTAACTGTAATATACAAATATTAATATAATATATAACAACAAACCAGAGTATACTGATTTGTATCGCTACAATATAATAGTTATTCCGGTCAGGTTGAATTCCCTGTCATTTATTTATCATCCACGCACGAACTTGTCTCAGAAAAAAAAATATATCTGTACATTAACCTCACTTTCAGGTATAGAGATGTGATTTTTTTTCTGAGACAAGTGCTTGTGACCATCCACAACATCTACAAGAACTTGCGGTCATCCGACGTTCAGTACTTCAGTACTTTGATTAACTAAGTCACCCTCTGGTGGCCATCTTGCATGATGGATCGGTATCAGAGTAACAACAATTCATAAGGAACAATCATATCATTCCATTCAGTTGTTCTCTTAAATGATACATATATATGCATTGTCTGTAAGCTCCTATGTTAAAATAAGTCCCCCTCTGTCGGCCATCTTGGATGTTTTATCGCCTACAAAATTACAAAACTTGGCCAGCACCTCATACAGAACATTAATGCATTTTTTTTATTTCATTCAATGTAGTGGTTCTCTAAAAGAAAATATTTGTATGTATCTCCCATATGGTCCTATGTTAAACTCAGTCCCTCTCTAGCAGCCGTCTTGGATGATGGATTGGCTTCAAAGTAATAACACTTGATCAGCACCTCATAAGGAACATTTATGGCATGTTCGATTCCACTCCAATCAGTGATTCTTGTAAAGAAGACATGTGTATGTATTGTTAATAGGTTCCTATTTTAAACGAAGTCCCCCTACTGGCAGCCACCTTGGATGACGGAACAGCTACAAAGTCAAAACAGTTAGTCAGGACCTCATAAGGAACATTCATGCCAGGTTTTGGTTTCATTCCACTCAGTGATTCTCTGGGAGAAGTTCAAAATATAAAAAACTAGAGGCTCCAAGGAACCTGTGTCGCTCACCTGTTATTTTTATTTACAATTGATGCATGAAATAATTCAACTGTTATACTTTTGCTTTAGTTTCAGAGATATAAGTCAAAAACTGCATTTTCCCCCAGTGTTATTTTTTTTTGCCATGTCTGCCATGTTGGTTGGCAGGCAGGGTCATCAGACAATTTTTTAAAACTAGATACCCTAATGCTGATTGTGGCAAAGTTTGGTGAAATTTGTCTCAGTTGTTTCAGGAGACTTTTGTAAAAGATTACAAAAAATTACGAAAAATTGTTAATTTTGACTTTAAAGGGCAATAACTCCTTATGGGTTCAATTGATCAGTTTGGTAATGTTGTCTTATTTGTAGATATTACTTTGCTGAACATTATTGCTGTGTACAGTTTCTCTCTATCTATGATAATATTCAAGATAATAACCAATAAAATGCTTCGCTGGGCGCAGCTTGATACGACCGCAGAGGTCGAACCCTGAACAGTTGGGGCAAGTATGGACACAACATTCAAGCTTGATACAGCTCTGAATTTGGATTGTGATTAAATATTTGACACAGCATAGGTTTCTGACACAGAAAGAATGTGGTCTAAGAACTTCAATTTTTTTAATTTACCTATTATGGTCCAATGTCCAAAATCAAAATACATGGTTAGATTCAGCATATCAAAGAACCCCATATATTCAATTTTTGTTGAAATCAAACAAAGTTTAATTTTGGACCCCAACTTGGACAAACTTGAAAACTGGTCCCATAATCAAAAATCTAAACACATGTTTAGATTCAGCATATCAAAGTACCCGAAGAATTCAATTTTTGTTAAAATCAAACTAAGTTTAATTTTGGACCCTTTGGACCTTAATGTAGACAAATTTAAAAAACGGGACCCTAAATTAAAAATCTAAAAACACAGTTAGATTTGGCATATCAAAGAACCCCAATAATTCAATTTTTGATGAAATCAAACAAAGTTTAATTTTGGACCCTTTTGACCTCAATATGAACCAATCTGATAGCGGGCCCACAAATAAAAAATCTAAATACATGGTAAGATTCAGCATATCAAAGAACCCCATATATTCAATTTTTGTTGAAATCAAACAAAGTTTAATTTTGGACCCCAACTTGGACCAACTTGAAAACTGGTCCCATAATCAAAAATCTAAACACATGTTTAGATTCAGCATATCAAAGAACCCCAAAAATTCAATTTTTGTTAAAATCAAACTAAGTTTAATTTTGGACCCTTTGGACCTTAATGTAGACAAATTTAAAAAACGGGACCCTAAATTAAAAATCTAAAAACACAGTTAGATTTGGCATATCAAAGAACCCCAATAATTCAATTTTTGATGAAATCAAACAAAGTTTAATTTTGGACCCTTTTGACCTCAATATGAACCAATCTGATAGCGGGCCCACAAATAAAAAATCTAAATACATGGTAAGATTCAGCATATCAAAGAACCCTATATATTCAATTTTTGTTGAAATCAAACAAAGTTTAATTTTGGACCCCAATTTGGACCATCTTGAAAACTGGGCCAAAAATCTAAAATCTAAATACATGTTTAGATTCAGCATATCAAAGAACCCCATATATTCAATTTTTGTTGATATCAAACAAAGTTTAATTTTGGACCCCAACTTGGACCAACTTGAAAACTGGTCCCATAATCAAAAATCTAAACACATGTTTAGATTCAGCATATCAAAGAACCCCAAAAATTCAATTTTTGTTAAAATCAAACTAAGTTTAATTTTGGACCCTTTGGACCTTAATGTAGAGCAATTTAAAAAACAGGACCCAAAATTAAAAATCTAAATACACGGTTAGATTTGGCATATCAAAGAACCCCAATAATTCAATTTTTGATGAAATCAAACAAAGTTTAATTTTGGACCCTTTTGACCTCAATATGAACCAATTTGATAGCGGGCCCACAAATAAAAAATCTAAATACATGGTAAGATTCAGCATACCAAAGAACCCCATATATTCAATTTTTGTTGAAATCAAACAAAGTTTAATTTTGGACCCCAATTTGGACCAACTTGAAAACTGGGCCAAAAATCTAAAATCTAAATACATGTTTAGATTCAGCATATCAAAGAACCCCATATATTCAATTTTTGTTGAAATCAAACAAAGTTTAATTTTGGACCCCAACTTGGACCAACTTGAAAACTGGTCCCATAATCAAAAATCTAAACACATGTTTAGATTCAGTATATCAAAGAACCCCAAAAATTCAATTTTTGTTAAAATCAAACTAAGTTTAATTTTGGACCCTTTGGACCTTAATGTAGACAAATTTAAAACATGGGACCCTAAATTAAAAATCTAAAAACACAGTTAGATTTGGCATATCAAAGAACCCCAATAATTCAATTTTTGATGAAATCAAACAAAGTTTAATTTTGGACCCTTTTGACCTCAATATGAACCAATCTGATAGCGGGCCCACAAATAAAAAATCTAAATACATGGTAAGATTCAGCATATCAAAGAACCCCATATATTCAATTTTTGTTGAAATCAAACAAAGTTTAATTTTGGACCCCAATTTGGACCATCTTGAAAACTGGGCCAAAAATCTAAAATCTAAATACATGTTTAGATTCAGCATATCAAAGAACCCCATATATTCAATTTTTGTTGATATCAAACAAAGTTTAATTTTGGACCCCAACTTGGACCAACTTGAAAACTGGTCCCATAATCAAAAATCTAAACACATGTTTAGATTCAGCATATCAAAGAACCCCAAAAATTCAATTTTTGTTAAAATCAAACTAAGTTTAATTTTGGACCCTTTGGACCTTAATGTAGAGCAATTTAAAAAACAGGACCCAAAATTAAAAATCTAAATACACGGTTAGATTTGGCATATCAAAGAACCCCAATAATTCAATTTTTGATGAAATCAAACAAAGTTTAATTTTGGACCCTTTTGACCTCAATATGAACCAATTTGATAGCGGGCCCACAAATAAAAAATCTAAATACATGGTAAGATTCAGCATACCAAAGAACCCCATATATTCAATTTTTGTTGAAATCAAACAAAGTTTAATTTTGGACCCCAATTTGGACCAACTTGAAAACTGGGCCAAAAATCTAAAATCTAAATACATGTTTAGATTCAGCATATCAAAGAACCCCATATATTCAATTTTTGTTGAAATCAAACAAAGTTTAGTTTTGGACCCCAACTTGGACCAACTTGAAAACTGGGCCCATAATCAAAAATCTAAACACATGTTTAGATTCAGCATATCAAAGAACCCTAAGAATTCAATTTTTGTTAAAATCAAACTAAGTTTAATTTTGGACCCTTTGGACCTTAATGTAGACAAATTTAAAATAAAATGCTTCGCTGGGCGCAGCTTGATACGACCGCAGAGGTCGAACCCTGAACAGTTGGGGCAAGTATGGACACAACATTCAAGCTTGATACAGCTCTGAATTTGGATTGTGATTAAATATTTGACACAGCATAGGTTTCTGACACAGAAAGAATGTGGTCTAAGAACTTCAATTTTTTTAATTTACCTATTATGGTCCAATGTCCAAAATCAAAATACATGGTTAGATTCAGCATATCAAAGAACCCCATATATTCAATTTTTGTTGAAATCAAACAAAGTTTAATTTTGGACACCGATTTGGACAAACTTGAAAACTGGTCCCATAATCAAAAATCTAAACACATGTTTAGATTCAGCATATCAAAGTACCCCAAGAATTCAATTTTTGTTAAAATCAAACTAAGTTTAATTTTGGACCCTTTGGACCTTAATGTAGACCAATTTAAAAAACGGGACCCAAAATTAAAAATCTAAATACACGGTTAGATTTTGGCATATCAAAGAACCCCAATAATTAAATTTTTGATGAAATCAAACAAAGTTTAATTTTGGACCCTTTTGACCTCAATATGAACCAATTTGATAGCGGGCCCACAAAAAAAAATCTAAATACATGGTAAGATTCAGCATATCAAAGAACCCCATATATTCAATTTTTGTTGAAATCAAACAAAGTTTAATTTTGGACCCCAATTTGGACCAACTTGAAAACTGGGCCAAAAATCTAAAATCTAAATACATGTTTAGATTCAGCATATCAAAGAACCCCATATATTCAATTTTTGTTGAAATCAAACAAAGTTTAATTTTGGACCCCAACTTGGACCAACTTGAAAACTGGGCCCATAATCAAAAATCTAAACACATGTTTAGATTCAGCATATCAAAGAACCCCAAGAATTCAATTTTTGTTAAAATCAAACTAAGTTTAATTTTGGACCCTTTGGACCTTAATGTAGACCAATTTAAAAACGGGACCCAAAATTAAAAATCTAAATACACGGTTAGATTTGGAATATCAAAGAACCCCAATAATTCAATTTTTTATGAAATCAAACAAAGTTTAATTTTGGACCCTTTTGACCTCAATATGAACCAATTTGATAGCAGGTCCACAAATAAAAAATCTAAATAAATGGTTAGATTCAGCATATCAAAGAACCCCAAGAATTCAATTTTTGATGAAATCAAACAAAGTTTAATTTTGGACCCTTTTGACCTCAATGTGGACAAAGTTGATAACGGGGCCCAAAAATCAAAAATCTAAATACATGGTTAGATTCAGCATATCAAAGAACCCCATATATTCAATTTTTGTTAAAATCAAACTAAGTTTAATTTTGGACCCTTTTGGCCTTAATGTAGACCAATTTGAAAACGGAACCAAAAATTAAGAATCTAAATACACGGTTAGATTCGGCATATCAAAGAATCCCAATAATTCAATTTTTGATGAAATCAAACAAAGTTAAATTTTGGACCCTTTGGACCTCAATGTGGACCAATTTAAAAAACGGGGCCCAAAATCCAAAAACTTAATACACGGTTAGATTCAGCATATTAAAGAACCCCAAGAATTCAAGAATAAAACCCCATTGAAATTGATCAAGAAATAAGCAATTTATACGAAGTATCTTCTTTTGCACAATACTGTGCAATTGAATATTTCTTGCTATTGTGCAATACTGTACAATTGACAATTTCTTGCTATTGCGCAATATTGTGCTATTGGATATTTCTTGCTATTGCGCAATACTGTGCAATTGAAGATTTCTTGCTATTGCGCAATACTGTGCAATTGAAGATTTCTTGCAATTGTGCAATACTGTGCAATTGAAAATTTCTTGCTATTGCACCATTCTTATTATATAATAATTTACACATCCTGTTTGGTGTGTATCTCCTACCATATCATTATTATTTGCTTTTAAATATTAATCAGAAATAACCAACTTACAATGGAAAATTTTAAAAGAAACAAAAAAGGAAAAAAAGAAAAAAAAGAAAAAAAAAAATCCCCCCCCCCCCAAATTTTTTGAACCCCCTTATGATTCATCACCCCCAAACTCAATCCCAGCCTTCCCTTTGTGGTATGGTACCTTGCAGTACAATTTCAGAGAGATCCATACACTTGAACACAAGTTATTGTCTGGAAACTAGAAAAATGCTTATTTTTGGCCCCTTTTTGGCCCCAAATTCCTAAACGTTTCGGGCAATTACCCCCAAACTCAATTCCAGCTTTCCCTTTGTGATATGGAACCTTGTAGTACAATTTCAGAAATATCCAAACACTTACACACAAGTTATTGTCATGAAACTAGAAAAATGCTTGTTTTTTGCCCCTTTTTTGGCCCCTAATTCCTAAAATTTTGAGGCAATTACCCCCAAAATCAATCCCAGCATTCCCTTTGTGATATGGAACCTTGTGGTACAATGTCAGAGAGATCCATACACTAACACACAAGTTATGTCTGGAAGTTACAAAAATGCTTATTTTTGGCCCCTTTTTGGCCCCTAATTCCTTAACTGTTGGTACCATAACCCCCAAAATCAATCCCCACCTTCCTTTCGTGGTATTGAACCTTATGGTAAAATTTCATGGAGATTCATTCACTTAAACTAAAGTTAGAGTGCGAAAACCAATGTGTCTTCGGACGACGCCGGACGACGCCAGACGACGACGACGACGACGACGACGACGACGACGACGACGACGACGACGACGCCAACGTCATACCAATATACGACCAAAAAATTTTCAATTTTTGCGGTCGTATAAAAACGGGACCCAAAATTAAAAATCTAAATACACGGTTAGATTCGGCATATCAAAGAACCCCAATAATTCAATTTTTGATGAAATCAAACAAAGTTTAATTTTGGACCCTTTGGACCTCAATGTGGACCAATTTAAAAACGGGGCCCAAAATCCAAAAACTTAATACACGGTTAGATTCAGCATATTAAAGAACCCCAAGAATTCAAGAATAAAACCCCATTGAAATTGATCAAGAAATAAGCAATTTATACGAAGTATCTTCTTTTGCACAATACTGTGCAATTGAATATTTCTTGCTATTGCGCAATACTGTACAATTGACAATTTCTTGCTATTGCGCAATATTGTGCTATTGGATATTTCTTGCTATTGCGCAATACTGTTAAATTGAAGATTTCTTGCTATTGCGCAATACTGTGCAATTGAAGATTTCTTGCTATTGTGCAATACTGTGCAATTGAAAATTTCTTGCTATTGCACAATACTTATTATATAATAATTTACACATCCTGTTTGGTGTGTATCTCCTACCATATCATTATTATTTGCTTTTAAATATAAATCAGAAATAACCAACTTAAAATGGAAAATTTTAAAAGAAAAAAAAAAAGGAAAAAAAGAAAAAAAAAAAAAAAAAAAATCCCCCCCCCAAATTTTTTGAACCCCCTTATGATTCATCACCCCCAAACTCAATCCCAGCCTTCCCTTTGTGGTATGGTACCTTGCAGTACAATTTCAGAGAGATCCATACACTTGAACACAAGTTATTGTCTGGAAACTAGAAAAATGCTTATTTTTGGCCCCTTTTTGGCCCCCAATTCCAAAACGTTTCGGGCAATTACCCCCAAACTCAATTCCAGCTTTCCCTTTGTGATATGGAACCTTGTAGTACAATTTCAGAAATATCCAAACACTAACACACAAGTTATTGTCATGAAACTAGAAAAATGCTTGTTTTTTGCCCCTTTTTTGGCCCCTTGTTCCTAAAATTTTGAGGCAATTACCCCCAAAATCAATTACAGCCTTCCCTTTGTGATATGGAACCTTGTGGTACAATGTCAGAGAGATCCATACACTTACACACAAGTTATTGTCTGAAAGTTACAAAAATGCTTATTTTTGGCCCCTTTTTGGCCCCTAATTCCTTAACTGTTGGTACCATAACCCCCAAAATCAATCCCAACCTTCCTTTTGTGGTATTGAACCTTATGGTGAAATTTCATGGAGATCCATTCACTTAAACTAAAGTTAGAGTGCGAAAACCAATGTGTCTTCGGACGACGCCGGACGACGCCGGACGACGACGACGACGACGACGACGACAACGACGACGACGACGACGACGACAACGACGACGACGACGACGACGACGACGCCAACGTCATACCAATATACGACCAAAACATTTTTAATTTTTGCGGTCGTATAAAAACTGAAGAATTTCCTTAAATTATTAATTCAGGGGCAGCAACCTAACAAGGGCTTGTGTGATTTGTTTATAAATTTCAGGGCAGATGCATCTTAACCTGATGAACATTCTCACCCATTGTCAAATTTGCTTGAAATGCTTTGGTTTCAGAGATATAAGCCAAAAACTGCATTTTACTCCTTTGTTTTATTTTTAGCCATGTCGGCCATGTTGGTTGGCAGGCAGGGTCATCGGACACATTTCTTTAAACAAGATACCCTAATACTGATTGTGACCAAGTTTGGTTAAATATGTCTCAGTAGTTTCATCAGAGAAGATTTTTGTAAGATTACAAAAAATAACAAAAAAATACTATAAAGGACAATAACTCCTTAAGGGGTCAATTGACCATTTTGGTCATGTTGACTTATTTGTAGATCTTACTTTGCTGAACATTATTGCTGTTTACAGTTTATCTCTATCTATAATTATATTCAAGATAATATTCAATAAATTGCATTGCTGAGCGCAGCCTGATACGACCGCAGAGGTCCAACCCTGAACAGTTGTGGCAAAAATAGACACAATATTCGCGCTTGATACAGGTCTGAATTTGGATTGAAATTTGATATTTGAAACATAATAAGTATCTGACACAGAATAACTGTAGTCAAAGAACTAAGAGTTGGTTATAGGATTAGAATTTATATTTATTTTTTTTCCTTTATGTACAATACACTATGCTGTTGCCAATTGATCCTCCCCCAAAAAATAAATTTATCCCCCCTTTTTTTCTGAAGATATTTTCTTTTTAATTTCTGAAATCTGAAATGAGAAAAAATTGCCCCCCCCCCCCTTAATATTTTTCACCTCCCTCCCTCCTTTTTCAAAAAAAAAAATTCTTCCCCTCAAGATATGGTCATAATCTCAATTCAAATTTCCAATGGAGTTTGCAACCATAATTACCCTTATAAATACATCATAAAAGTCTTAAAATAGAAAGTGACATACATAATCATGGCTTAAAACAGATATTTCTTAATCAGCTTTTTTTAAAATAGTAACTTCTAAAAATAAATTGACAGCTAATCACCTCAAGACAATACAACATTTATTTATTCATAATTTAAAAGCAGTGTAAGGGAGGTAATCCAAACATATACTTTTTTAATTGTCAATAAACAGGGAAATACTTGTTTTCCCCCTTTTTTTCCCCTAATTCCTAAACGGTTTGAGCTATACCTTCCCCCTTCCCAAAGCCAATCCTAACCATCCCTTTGTGGTATGGAAACTTGTGGTATAATTTCAGAGAGATCCATACACCATTCCAGAAGTTATTGTCTGGAAACTAGAAAAATGCTTATTTGGGCCCTTTTTGGCCCCTAATTCCTAAACTGTTTGGATCATAACTCCCAAAATCAATCCAAACCTTCCTTTTGTGGTTAAAAACCTTGTGTTTAAATTTCATAGATTTCTATCTACATTTACTAAAGTTATTGTCCAGAAACCAAATGTCTTCGGACGACGCGGACGACGACGACGTGATACCAATATACGACCGCAAAAGTTTTTGCGGTTGTATAAAAACTGGAAAATTTCCTTTAAATTACCAATTCAGGGGCAGCAACCCAACAATGGGTTGTCCGATTTGTCTGAAAATTTCAGCGCGAAAGATTTTGACCTGATAAACAAATTCACCCCCATGTCAGATTTGCTCTAAATGCTTTGGTTTCAGAGATATAAGCCAACATCTACATTTTACCCCTATGTTCTATTTTTAGCTATGGCTGCCATCTTGGTTGGTTGGCCGGGTCATCGGACACATTTTTAAACAAGATACCACAATGATCATTGTGGACAAGATGGTTAAATTTGGCCAAGTAGTGTCAGAGGAGAAGATTTTTGTAAAAGTTAACAGACTCAGGACGACAGACGACGGACACCGGATGACAGACGCCGGACGCCAAGTGATGAGATCTTATTTATTGATATTTGCAATGGCATGTCAAAAATCTTGCAAAATACAATTTAAAAATCAGAACATTGAAATGCATTTTCCTAATACATTATTTACATGTTATATACAAGTTACGGAATTTCTCTCAGTCAATAAGTTATATATGGACCTGTTCGATTATATTGACACTCGAACTTCGTCCTCTGTCAATATAATTTGAAGAAATTATATATTACATATTGATCAGAAAGAACTATATGCACTGAGGATGAAATTCGAGGAAGATATACTTTTCTACTATGATATGTCCTCGTATCGACCTCGTTCAAAGGTAAAATTGTTATATAATTATTGGCAATGAGGCAAAATTAAAGTTGGTCGTCAGGTGCAAAAAGTGTTAATTTTGACGATTTGTCGTCCCTTTTCTTAATCTGGAAAGCCGAGTGATGCTGATAGATGTAACCAACTGTAGTCTACATGTAGAGTAGACTCCATTGAACACATTTACAACAACAGTTCTTATGTCAGAGTGAAACTTATCTTGGCAGAGAAGTCTATAAAAGAAGGTCATTTTGACCAAAAATTAGAAATTTCTCGATTTTACCCGATTTTTTACTGCAACTGAAGCTGGAACCGGAAGTAGTCGTTTTCTAGGCGTATTTCAATAATAAACAAAAATAGAAGATATATGCCCGCGGGTTTACACTACAGGTGGAAGTTTTAGGCCTCTAAACTTTGTGTGTTAGACATCGAATGGAAGCCCACCCCATACAAAAACTGTTTATCCGATTTCAATTTTCGTATTTGTATCGAAATTCGTATTTGAGCTCAATATGAACATTGAAATGCAGAAACATGACAACATTGGTGCAAGATTGAGATAACATTTAGAATAAATGAAACCGTATTGAATAACATTGAAAATGTAAATTTACTATTGTCTGAATATCCTCGAAAAAAAATACTTAGAACAGTAATTAATGTAACAAAACGCAGACAACACCTATATTTAGATAATTAACATGTTTACAAAACTCCTGATGTCAATCTGAATTAATACTATAGTATCTATCTAAAGTGACTTATTGGTCCTTTGGGCCGGTGTAGTTTAATTGAAATATTTCAGTATTGTACATATTTTTGTTGTACACAATGTCACTATAATGAACATATTTGTATTGTATTATAAATGTCGTAAAGTTGACCTCAAAAAGTATGGAGAGCAATTGGAGCCAAAGAACAGTATTTTACGTATGGTGGTAATATAACGGCCCCTGTATGGTAAAGTTTTTTAAAAGAATAATTGAAAAATTTGCGATATATAATATGTTGAAGACTTTTGGTAAAATTTAGAGTCAACTCGAGTGACAAAATTTAGAAATTTGATCTAGGGACATTTATTCAGACCATGTGTGTGTATTTGTTTAATCCGATTTTTTCATGAAAATAAAGCTGATTTACAAATGATGTGACGACATATCAATAAAGTAGTTTGGTGTCTTTTTCTGAATATCTCTTCTTGGCATCTTACAGAAATTGTTCATGTGTATCATTCAATATACATCAGAAACATCTATAACTTGAAATTTTTAGATTAAACTATCAAAAAATTTAGTTTCGTTAATCGTGTCTGAAATTTTCAGAAAACTCCGTTTAAATACAATGACAGGTAATGAATTTGATTGGAAACTTTGTGTTTCCTTTTTTTTTTTTAGAAAATAAGGCGTGATCCCACTATTTTCATTTGATATTTCGAAAGCATTTATGAAAAGCAATTCTCTAATTGAATTTTAACCAAATCAATCGTTTGATAGTTTCTCAAAAAGGAAAATACAACCTACATGACTGTATATAGTATAACTGTGATTTCGTTACTTTCAATGTATTTTAACGAAAAACAAGCTCCGTGACCCCAAGTTTTTAAGTTGGAATTTGAAAATACAAAGACCGAGAAGTCTGTTATAGAAGTTTAAGACAAATGTATCGTCGAACATTTATACTACCCAGCTACCATAACCGTTTCAAAACAAAATCAGTTTATGAAAGATCAAAAACAATAAAATGTAAATATTACTCACATTGTATGAATTAAGAATCTTCAGTACCAGCACATAATCTGCTAAGTAAAGTATATATCACGTAGGTCTTCCAAGCCACCTAAACATTCGATGTATTACACATTCACTGTTAAATTGTTATAAACACAATGGTATTAGAAGTATAAATCCAAACCAACATTACAAGTGTCATGTCCGCCAGGCAAACTGCGCAGTTTGAAAGATTGGCGTCGTCACTAAGTTGGAATGTTATGATTGGCTAATTTCAGCAGCCAATGGAAAGTTGTTATCTAGTTTTGCTTATTTGCAATCCATATTGCTATAAAATTTTTAATAAAATGCTTAATGAGTTCAAATCATCAGATTTTCAAATTTGACAGTCATGATTAAAGACAAAGTTGTAAATCAAAACAATGCAACCGTCTAGGATAATCTAACTTTCCTTTCTGTACCTAAAATTTACAACTTACTGTTTAAAAATAGCATGCGAATTCCAAATAATAACACAGTGCAACAAAATGTAGAATACATTTAAAGCAGCTTAAAAATCAGGAAGACCTTAAGTGTTTCTTGACGACAGTTTCTTGACAACAGTATTGTCAACGTATATTTCTTCCGACTAACAGAAGTTCCACTGGAAACTTTAATAAACAATGTCATAATATCCTATACATGTACCATTTGTTCCGTTATGAACATATACAGTAATATTCCAGATTATGTCTTTTTTCATTTGGAACTTATGTTATGAAGGAACTTCTATTTCATGATATGATTTAGAAATTGTTTAGCAGAACATTTAACATGTTAAAAAGTTACTCAAAGTTTGTTTTCAGAATGCATGGTCATTCCTATATATAACAAGTACCTATAAATTTTTAGTAAAAAATTCAGTGTAGTGTTCTCTCAGTTTTGAAGTCACTGTAGTTTAGTTCAAAGATTTTTTGTAGAAAGGGTTCGTGTTGTATCGGTAAGGTGCGTATTATTACATAATGATTGATTCACTTTTTCTTTACTTTGATTTATGTTGGTATTCCAGAAATCATACTGATCATAAATATATAATGTTTTATTAAAAATATTCGACTGCAATTTCTATATAAGTTTCTTATCCCTGTGGTGGTACTATTCACATTTTCGTGTTTACTTCTTCTTTAAAATATCGTATACATGTGCTATCGAATTGGTTTTGGTGAGTCAAGCCTTTTACAATTGTTACTTATGCTGTGTTCTTACTCCACTCTGTCAATTTCGTGGAATTTAAAAGGGTTGAGGAGGTACATATGTTCATCTGTTTGGTCTTAAAATTAAAAAAAAATATTTTGCTATTTCGATGATCATAAACAAAAATATAAAGCCTAGCTATCAAAATAAGAATATGTGGTATGATTGCAAATCCCACGGCTATCATTCGGTATACAAGTACAAAAAAAAGATAGTGAAAGAAAAGTAACGGTGGTATGCCCATTGGGTGAAAGATCTGGTCTAGAATCGTGAAAGAAATCTTATCGAGAAGAAGACACATTCAGCGATTTATAATAAAAATTAAAGATGTCTGTCAAAATGGTTTCACATTATGATCAGTATCCGAGAATAATCAAGGTTTAGAATACACCTGTTTTAACATACAAAAGGCAGGTTGCTCTCGAAATTTCAAACAAAAAATGCATAGTACTGTTTAGAAATCTTATTTTTCGGTATATTTATTTTTAAGGGTGCATGCCGTACAAAATAGTACACGCATATTTTCATATAAATGTACTAATCATCGGTATGAAATACACTCTTACAGCTTGTTATTCTATATGTTTTCATTTTTAGTATAGGAAATAGACATTACAAGTTATTTTTCTAAAAAAAATACAAGATATTTGAGGATGCCGAGTGTATGAAAAGCCAGTAAATAGTAATGCTACCGCACATATTATTTTTTTCTTATTTCGTTTATTTGAAAGCATACACATCGTACTAAGGAACAAATTTAAGTCAACTTACATTAAATATATATTTAATGTTCGACCTATGGTAGTAAAGCGCATGTATTCTCAGGTCTGTGTGTTCGTTCATTCGTTCGTTCGTTCGTTTGTCCGTTGATCCGTTCGTCCGCTCCTGTATCCGTACGTCAGTCAATGAATGTAGTTAAAGATGAAGTTGTAGTCAGATCAATTTGAAACTTAGTGGCACATGTTCATTATAATGTGATCTTTCTAAATTGAATTCCGAAATTAGCATTTCGACACAAGTTCAACGGTTTACTGAATATGAAAAATGATTGTGCGAGCAAATCATCATGAACAACTATTCTTGTTTTTTTTTTCATTCAAATTGTTTACTTTTTATTCTCATTTCTAATCCACCAGTGCTATTATATAGCCATTATATGCTTAGGAAATAGACGTCTTAAATGGTTTTGTTTGCAATTATTGATACAAGTTTATAATATGATACGTTTAGAGTTTGGAAAACACAGAAAACGTAAAATAGACGTCAAAGTATGGTTATTTTCCTAACTTGTCCTCTTCCTGATGGTGTAAAATCCGGGGAGAGGCGCACCTTTGTTTATATAAATACATGTATCATATTATTTAGTATGTGTTGAGATGCAGCGGAATAAAAATGGTTCGTTAACAAAAGCTGTATTAAAAATAAACACATACAGAATGTCTTCAAACATCTGACACAGGCTTTATTTTAAGATGTTAAGACATTTTTCGAATTGCTGGCACGTTTTTTTTTAATATATATATTTCTTTTTCTATGCTCATTGGTATCAATATGCCGGCATTAAGCAACCAAGCTAGTTAGTGCATTCAGTTCCAGACGTCATTGGTTTTGGTTTTTCCCACTTCCACTTCCAATGCTGGGCATCTCTGGTCATTTAGTCGTTAAAAAAATAACATATTCCGTACTGGTAGCTAGAATTTCTATAGATATTTAACAGAACGTTTTATCATAATGGGGTTTGTGGTTTTCACACATATCGCAATATGATTCTTTGACAAGCTTATTCTTATTGCTAACTTTAGTGGACGATAGAATATATTTCGTACTGGTAGCTAGAATTTCTATTTAACAGAACGTTTTATCATAATGGGGTTTTGTGGTTTTTACACATACCGCAATATGATTCTTTGGCAAGCTGATTCTCATTGCTAACTTTAGTGGTCGATAGAATTGGTCGCTAGCTTGATTGGTCGCTAGAATTGGTCGCTAGCTTGAGTCTGGTCCTAACAGGAGGGATTGTGCCTGATATTCATATGATGAAGTCTAAGACATAATCTTTCAATCAGTTTAATTGAGGTCTGGAGCTGGCATGTCAGTAACTGCTAGTAGTCTGTTGTTATTTATGTATTATTGTCATTTTGTTTATTTTCTTTTGTTTTCTATTCTGACATCAGACTCGGACTTCTCTTAAACTGAGTTTTACTGTGCGTACTGTTGTACGTTTGTTTTTTCTACATTGGCTAGAGGTATAGGGGGAGGGTTGAGATATCAAAAAACATGTTTAACCCCGCCGCATTTTTGAGCCTGTCCCAAGTCAGGAGCCTCTGGCCTTCGTTAGTCTTGTATCATTTTTAATTTTAGTTTCTTGTGTATAATTAAGAGTTTAGTATGACGTCCATTATCACTGAACTAGTATACATATTTGTTTAGGGGCCAGCTGAAGGACGCCTCCGGGTGCGGGAGTTTCTCGCTGCATTGAAGACCCATTTGGTGGCCTTCGGCTGTAGTCTGCTCTATGGTCGGGTTGTTGTCTCTTTGACACATTCCCCATTTCCATTCTGAATTCTATTTATTATTATTACGACTGATCATCAATGGACAAAAATACGAAATTAATGAATTCTTTATCTTTAAATTCAATACACAAATTATGAGAGATCCAGTTGATGTGACACTAGTCATTTCACGTTTGTTTAATTGATACAATTTCGAGTCATATAAACAAACATTAAATCTAATGTACATGTATATAAAGCTTAAATTTGGTACGCCAAACGCGCGTTTCGTGTCCATAAGACTCGCCAGTGGAATCAAAACAGTTGAATGTCCAAATAAAATACGAAGTTGAGTAACTGTGAAAACTAAAAGTTCCGCGCATATATAGCACCTGAAAACTTTCACTCCATGAGAAGAACATTGTCGTATTATGAAATTATCAGAAACTAAAGTTTCACCTTATATGGAATTGGCTATTATTTGTAGATCCTTTTTTGGTCTTATATCTCTTTAACTGTTTCTGATCTTATACATGTTCATCCTTGGCTTTCAAATATTCAGCTTTTAGCATTTCTGATGAAGGTAAATACAGAAAAGTGCTTCGGAGGCACGAAATTTAAAAAGTTTTGTCTTCTTTTTTTATGGTACCATTATTACCTTGACAAATTATAAATCAAGCCAGGAATGAAATAATTTATACAATTCGATAAAAAAAAAAAAAGAACAATAACAACAATAATAAGGAGAACTGGGTGTATGTCAGTGCACGCCTTGTGGGAGGGCATGTATTTTATTGCGAATTTTAAGGCATTTGGTTTTGTGAAAGGCTTTTTATAGTCATTGACTGTATATATTTATTTTGTTTGAGTTTCGCTGTATTCCAGATCATCTCCAGTTTCTTATCCCAAATGTTTGTTAGTCAGAGTTTTGTCATATAAATTCTACGTAATCGAGCTCAATTTTTAATATATATTTATCTTTTATGAACTGTTTTGTCATACTTTTAATAACATCTGTCATCAGGAATTTGCTCATATTTTAGATAAATTTTATACCTCAATCACCAAAGACAATTTTAACATATGGAATCCACTGATATTGCGAAGAATAAACTACAGTAACTTGTAGTTGAATGTCAATCTGTACAATATGGAGGACAATCGTTATCATTGATACTATTCCTAAGCAAAATCTTATCGTTTGATTTTACAATAGTTTCCTCAGAAAATCTTCTGACTTCGCACATAACATAAAACTGGGTGTACCATTGCTAGCGTGATTTTTTTTTACATTTGAATATTCAGTTTTCCATTACTTTTAATTTTTAAAACTTTAGACTATAGATGCATATACAATGTAAGCAGGTGCAGAAAGACGGTCACGAACTTTAAGATGCATTTCAGTAGGAATCACCATTTTCTAAATTTTTGTATTAAAAGCATGTTCATATATATCTGAGCTTGTGTTGACAGTATCCTTTTCTAATGCAAAAAA